AATCAATTAAAGTGTGAGAGTATACAATACCCATATATATGTAATTTCAAAGCTATGGCCTTTTTGTAGATATTTAAAGATGGCCATGTGTTAATCTCAACATCTACTAATACATTTTTTAATTTTGAAGTTGCTTCTGTTAACATTAGATAATGAACTATGAACTAAATTTAATGATCAATATATAGGCTAATTAATATTAAATATTGATATTTTTATTCATGTACAAAGTATGGTTCAGCACTGTTTTTAATAGGTTTTTTTTAATAGTAAAGCACTATTTTAGTTTTCGTTCAGTATCCATTTTGAAAACCATTGGTTGATTAATTGGTATCGGTCAGTGTGGACCAACCTAGATATCGGTATCGGTAAAATCCACTATCGGCCAACCTCTAAAAAAAACACATAAGATGACAGTATAAATATAGTTATATTTCATTCAATAATGAAAAGTATTGATAAAATTATTTTCATTTTATTTTACTGTTTGTGCATTTTGCAAACGTTATTTATTTATTTACTATTACTATTTTCTGACAGCTTTTCTCAGGTTCGGACTATGGAGCAAATACTCACTTTTTCCCTGTTTTCTGCTTCTGCTGAAAAAATGCCAGTTACATTTTAATTTGAAGCACATGGATTAATTCAATTAAATTATTATAATTAAAATGGCATATTTCTTTGTATTATTTATGCTTATTTGAGAATTGCATTGTTAGATTAGCAATGCAAACTCAGTTAAAATCAATTGGAAGAGATGTTGACCAATACAAACTGGTCACTTGTGAAGTTAAGATGCTGACTAAGTAGACAGTAGGCATGAACTCAGCTTAATAGGTTTTGGAACAGAGTTCATGTGTCATCTGCAGAGTCCATTCAACTTATTGTATTATTGTGCACCTGTGTGTCAATTCTGCTGATGAAATATTGAAAATATGTCTTTCCACAAATCTCCAGTGGATTAAAAGTCTGAAAGTCCATCTACTCTCACTGACTGCTATAAGCATGAGATAAGCAAAGGCATATTTGCTTGAATTTGAAGCTAAGGTTCTGTTGTACTGCCCATGCTGTTGAGCTGAGAACTGGAAGAGCGGCTATGCACATTCTCAGGGTCCTCCCCATGCCCGCGGCCTCCTCTCTGCCTGTGCTGGGCCTGTAGTGACACCCGCATTCATCATCCACAGCTGTCTGCTTCTACTATAAATCTCTGCCTACAGTGCCTACCCACCACTCTCAAGGAATTAATAGCCCCCAGGTCAAACTGGAAAAAATTTGGAAATGTGCATAGAATATTCACTAGTCAAGCATGCCAGGTGGCCCTTTGTGGATGTTTTGCATGGGAGCTCGGGGGAATGAGGTGCAGAAGGGTCTATATGGCCTGGTTGGACATGGTATAACAGGTCAGGGCTTGCACAGCCAAACGTTTGACTATCGGCATAATGGCATCTGGTCTGGTTTGCAGCTTATTTAACTTATTCTGTCAGAGTTAGTTTTGTTTTGTTCAAACCTCTGCTAGACCACAGCTCATTTGCATACACTGTATTAAAATGTAATTTTCCTCACAAGCTCAGCAGTCTTGAACCAAATGCTAATGCTAATTAGCATGCTAGCATGCTTCACTTTCACAAACAACTTAGCCACATGACCTATGGGAAAATCTGTTATCAGTTAATGGCTGCTAGCCATTTAAAACAGACTATCTAAAAAGTCATCTTAAAGAGATGGAGATGAAAATTTTGTCATAATTTACATGTCATTCCAAACCTATAAAACCCTCTTTTGTGAATAAAATAAGATATTTTGAAGAATTTGGTAATTAAACAGGTTTGGTTACCATTGACCTCCATATAATGGACCACAAAAAATAAATAAATAAATAATAATAATATAAAATAGAAATAAATAAATCTTAAAATCTGTTATTTTTCTATTATTTATATACTATATTATTTATATTATTATACGAATTATTTATATTATTTATATGCTATTGTAGAATTTATTACAATTTTGAATAGGCTTTTATTTTTACATTGTAAGTTTTTACAATGACTTGTAAAGATTTATATTTAATTTTATATCAGCTTTATTTCAGTTTTCAATAGTTTTATTTTCAGTTGACAATAACAACACAGCTCAAAATATTTATGTTCCACAGACATGAGGGTGAGTAAACAATAACAATTTCTGGATGAACCATGACTTTAATTGATGTTTTGTTTTATTTCATCAACATATTCTAAAATATCCTACATATTCCTTTCATTTGAACACTACATGACTGACACAAAAGACAAAGACCACTCCTGAGGTTTCAGGCTGGCCAGTATTCCAGTTCTGAGCTTTTGCCAAATATTAACAGTCCTGCTGTGCTTACCAAAACAAATCTGCTGGATAGAGGATGGGAGAGAGCGAGTGTGAGAGGGAGAGAGGCTGGGTCAACCTATCTATCAGAACTCTCACATCCATAGAGCGGAGCTGGCTCTGGAGCAAGTGTCCAGAGAGCAGGGACAGTTTTATCCAGTCGGCCCAGCAAAGTGACAAATGACAGTCACCATGCGCACATCCTGGAAACTGGTTGTGATGGCGGAGGACAAAGGAAGGGAGCCAGAGGCCAGCTCAGCAGTGGAGGCTGCTCAGTATCCAGTCATTAGTGCTGGCAGACCCCTGTGCAGCCACACGCCCCGCCATACCCTGATTACTGCCCTTCACGCTCAGCTTGAAAGACGGACACAAGGCAGCTCTGAGGAAGCCTGCGACTATCTATACAATACTCTGCTTCATTTGAAGAAAGAGAAAGAAATTTGTTGTTATTTGTGCTATTGTGTTATTGTTATTTGAGCTAAAAAAACAGTCATCCATCATTTTATTTTGAAAAAAGCTGTGGTCTTACACAAATTATTAATTGAGTGCATATTCTTGTGATTTTATGTGTTAAAACCAATTTTTGCATCCTCTGTCCTATATACAGTAAATAGATAAAAGCAGTGTTAAATGTGTATGTGCATTACCCTTTCCACAACATGACTGCAGTAAGCATCTTGTGCCACAGGGTGATACACTCTACAACACCACTGTCTACTTCTAATAATAGTTACTATCACATGAGTTTAACAGAACAAAAATACCCCAGAGCAGGCAAAATGTGTAGTGAATAACAGTAAAATAAAAGGAAATTCATATAAAACAATAAATATTAAATATATAATAATATTAATATTATAAATAATATAAATATCATAAATATAATAAAAACATTCTTTTTGCATGTTCTATGCATGTATAACTAGGCTTATAATTAAAAGGAGTAGAATATACAATAACTATATCAGAAAAAACAACAACAGATGAATGCATTACACATTTCAGTGACAAAAATTTCATTTTTACTTCTCAAAAAGTAAGAGCACAGCATTAGTAAGCTACTGTGAACATAGTAATTGCAAACACAACAAAGTCTGGACATTTTAGGTTGAACTGAACCCAGCTAAAAATGCATTATGGCAGTCTTGAGGTCATGTCATCCTGACCAGATCGTTGATAGTCTCATGCCATATTACAAACCCCATGTGTCTGAGCGGCCACACGTGATCCATAACAACTACATCATTTTCAGCTTCCAAATCAAATGTGAGGTTTTAAAAGCTGAGAAGTGTATAAAATTACTTTTCATCCTTGGGCTCAGACTATGAGAAAGAGTGTGAGGAGGAGGTATCTATCATTATGGCCACTCTTGGGTGGGTGAAGGATGTATAAGTTCTGCTATCTCGTCTTGAGCAGCTCTTAGCATCCAGTTCACCTATCTAGCAGAGCAGTGTTATGTAAGCGTTCGCTATATCGCAGCACACATGAGACTGATTTACTGTAATCTCTGACATGGGTGGCAGTTTTTTCAAAACTCAGCACAGTGAAGAGGGAATTAAATTAGTTTTTTTACGCAAACGCCGTTGTTGCAGGTTTTTAGCCCTGCGATAGGAGGGCCGGTCTGAGATGGAAACGGCAGTGATAGCTTGATGGTGGGTCATTAAAAGATAGCAGGCTGTTGTAGCACTCACTGCGAAAAAGGAGGTTCTGTTGTATGCTGTTTGTTCAGCATGAATTAATGGAGGATCTCGCCAGCAGCCGTAAAAACAGAGTAATTGCCTATTTCCAGCTAAATTAAAGATCAGTCCATTTACTGATAATGTTATCCAGGCTTGACAATGAAGGAATGTGGAAATGAACAGCTGATCGAAGAGAATGACATCTAACTTCTGCAAACAGTATAATGGCTCTTAGAAGGTGACTTGAAAGCAAAAACAAAACCTGTCTGGATCATATTTCACCTAAAAAAAAAAATACTTTTTGAAACTTTTTTAGGACTAAGATGGCTTGCATTGTGACAATTTTCATGAAAAGGTTTTTCAATATCATTACTGCATTTATATTACATTTACCACAGTCAATTTTTTGTTGTCTTTTGATGAAAACCTTCCTTAAATTAGGTTTTTAATTTATTATAACTAAATTACAAATAACAATAGATAAATAAATAACAATAAAAAATAAACAAAAAAGAATGGCCCTACAAATAGGATTCTTTTTCTTTTTTTTTTTTTTTTATTAAGTGGTGAAATGTGACATTTTCATTTTACATTTACAGATGTCTTCATGTCCAACTGTTCAGCAGAATGATGCATATCATTATGCAAAGTCTCATCTCATCCAATCACCCTAGCTTCTTCTCTGGCCTGTGGAACCTTAATCAAATGATTCACCACAACTGAAAAGTCCAATTAAATACGCCTGAAACAATTTCGCATCTGGGCAAAAAGCGAATTTCATTAGAGAAACACACCACGGGTTACGATGTCTGCTCTATCCTTTTCACAAGATAAGCTGTACTGAATCTATTATTCTTCTCAGACGGTCTATTCAAACTTGTTACCTCTCAGTCCAGACAAGGACATGGTGATATGATGCATGTCGTTGAAAGAGCGAGGTTCGTCCAGACCACCTACCTCTTTCAGGCAACCCATAAAGTTGTTGCTGACAGGAGACCCAGGTAAGTCTGCTGTGCTTGGACTTCCTCCGACGTAGAAGAAATCATCTGATCCCAGCATTGTGTAGTCCTCCTGTGTATAGCCTGTTGTGGTCAGGATGCCGTCCACGGATATTGTCACCTGATTGAGAGGAATGACAAAAGGAGAGGGAAAAATCCATTCATGAACATCATGGCTGTGACGGCTGCTCGACCAGGAATAGGTTAGCTTCGATCTTGCTGGTTTGTTGACAGTCTTTGATTGTGTACCAAAGACCTGAACTTCGAGACTTTTAGTAGGCCGTTCTTGTCTAGTATTCATAGGCTTACAAAGGACAGGTAAAGAAAATATTTTTCCGGTATATTTTCTTTATCTTTGATGGTGTTAGAAATGGTTTTCTGGTCTGGGACGTTAGTTTGAGGGGTTAGTGTTATGTAACAAACTATAGACAAATTGCTTGTTTTTAGTTCAAATTCTGTGCACACTGGGTTAGTTGAGTTGGTTTGGATGCATTCATCCAAAATGAGCTAATACTACCACAAATGAGCATGCAACACAGATGATCTTTTTCTGATAAAACGTTAATAGTGACATACAACCACTGCAAACATGGAATCATGCATCTTCTTCAAGCCAAGACAACATGCAAGAGGAAACAGCACATATGAGACCAAAACAAAAGCTACAGTATGAGGGGTAATGAGGGAGGACACAGGCAGTCATGACCTACACCACAGTACAGACAGGACAGGATACTTGGCAGATGGTGGGTTGCTCAGACAAGAGTTTTGGTGTTAGCAACACAAGGGCTGATCCAGCATGAATGGGTCGGCACGGCATGTGCAAACAACTGGAATCAACTGTCAGAGCTCCAGTGCTGAAATAGTTTTTTATTCTTTTATTTTCATATTATTGTTTTCATCGCTTTTTTGTTTTGGAAAGCTTCTGCCAGTTTTTGACAGTATTTGATTGAAAAAAAACAATTTTTAAGAAAAGAAAAAAGGGCTTCTTAAACAGACTAAGCCTTCAAAAACTAAAAAAGGGCCAAAGAGGAAGTTCAAAGAAAGAAAGATAGAAAATGTCAGTAAAGCTGTGGTGAAAAATGGGATGAGGACATTTGAAATAAAAAAAGGAAGAAATCCCCGAAATACAAACCCCAGTCTGTTTATTTTTTTATGAAGCCATGAAACCCCAAAAAAGAGAAAGAAAGAGGGCCAGGAAAACACATGGTAAACCCAAAAAAGGACAATAAGAATGATATCTACCAGACAATGTAGTTTGTTTACCATAGCGTGTCCAATACCTGAATGCTTTGAGAAAAGGGGGAAGAAAGGAAATTAAACAATGAACAAAAGGGTTGTTAATAAAATGAAATAAACTGAAATGAAGTCATGATGAGTAGCACATTAGTTTAGGTTCTGGTTAGTAAATTAAAGACTCTAGTCAATGGTTCATGAGTGGTTAGTCTGGGTCTGAATAAATGTCATCCACAGACAAGCAAAGCATATGAGTGAGAGTAAGAAAAGGTGGAAAAGAAAAAGAAACAGCAGATTCTCTACAGAGCCTGTGGCATTTCACTTTTGTAAAGGCATTGCTCTTGTTGGCAAGATCTTAAAGTGCAGACTCACTTCCAGAATATATTTTTCACCAATAATTCAATTTTTTTCTGTCAAAACACATTTAGCTTTGATTTTTAGGTCCTTTCTAACATAATGTTTCAGAACGTGTTGTTTTCTGCTACAACCGTGAATTCTGACCTCTATCAAGCTGCCTCTTTATTGTGATTCATTTGGTTTTTGACTTTCCTCGGGCAATTGCATTAGGTAATTCTAATGCATGTTCTTGTCGTGATAGTAAAACAGCTATTAAACAAAGTGAAAAAAATGGCACAGTCCTAGTGGATCAGAGCTGAAATAGCTAGTGCTTGTGGGCACTCACGCCTCTACACACGCCTGCGCAAAAAGCGACATACTTTCACTCCTGAGGGGCAAAACCAGCCTAAATATTTACATATTTTAAAATGCAGCGGCGGAGTGATTTAACAGTTCAACAAAGATTGGCTGTGGGTAAATGGAACGGTTGAGGTTGGTTGGAGCCTCTCCCCGCTGCCCTGATAAGACAGACTATTTGGAGAAGTGAGGTGAACATCTAGAGGGGTGAGAGAGACAGCCTCTTGAAGCCATCGCACTGCTGATAGCTTCAGACAGAGGTAAATGCCTGAGGAGGCAAAACATGAGGCAGCGTAGAAGAACTCAGAGAAGAAATAGTTGCGTTAGCATCTCAAAGAACTTAAAATAACCGAAAATGCTAATTTAAACAATATACAATAGCATTTAGTTCTGAATTAGATCAGAAAACATAAAATTACAACCGCTTTAGCATTACCTGTCTGAGGTTGCGTGTGACCTTCACGTCATGCCAGGCGTTGTCGTTGAACTTGCCATTGACAGGCTCGACAATGGCCTCGAAGGCTCCGGAACCCAAGTTGATGACCAATGAAACGGCCCCATCTTTCAGGGCCAGGTTGACATAGTCTGCTGACTTGCCGGTGTGAAGGATAAGGCCATTTCTTTGCCAGGTCTTGAAGGACAATGTGATCTCATCGCTGCTGCTCTGGATGGGATTCTGAGACAAGTCGTAGCAGAAGTACTCAGAACCTCGGAAAGTGGCCACGTTCTCTTCTCGTGCTATAAGAGAGGAAAAAAATGGGGTTAGAACTTCCTGAAACTAAACATACCCAAATATACGAGCTCTGAACGTTTCCTGAGATTGACCACTGAAGGAGTGCAATTAAGGTCAGATGACACAGAATGAGACAAGATGACACATAGCCAAGTGTGGGCAGCAAAACACACAGAGGCTGTGCATTTAAAGCCAAAGATCTGGTGAGATCATCAGTGAGATCATTTCTCTTGTTGAAGCATATATGCGCTAATGTTCAGTAGTTGTGTTGCATGTCTCATATGAGTCATAATCACAAAAGTTGCAGTGCAGTCCAATCCATCAACATCAATATTGGTTAAACTCCTCAAACCATGACAATATGCCTGATCCATGAGATCATCCAGAGATGATACAGATGCTGCATCTGAAGTGGCATTTAGATTTATTTCCGCAGACTGTTTAATGCGACTCAGAGGTGGGATGAATGCATATACACTGCATAAATAATACTAACATCATTAAAACAACAATTATGATATTATTGTAGACAATGCATTTCATACACCTCTATTTAAAAATACAGTAAAATAGAACACAAAGCATAGTTCCTAATAACATCCTTTAAAGTCAATAAAATGGGATGCTACCCATTTTACTGCAGTACATATTTCACAGTGAAACATGTTATTATGCAAGACAAAATGCAGGGCGGGACTAGGGATGTAACGATTACCGGTTTGACGATAAATCATGATAAAATTCCCCATGGTTAGTATTACCGTTTCATCTTTTAATTATCACTAAAACCGTATTAGATTACCGCGATTTGAACAACTCGTGATAAATAAATACTGTCCAGCATAAAGCACAGTTTTAAGTAACAGTCTCACGTGCGCACAGCACGCAGAGTAGTTTCGTTTTGAGTGAAAACAGGGCGTAAAAGCTGGGAGGTTTTAAAAGAGTGCTAAGGGAATTATACAAATGAATATATGAATTAAATAATTATATGAATGTACCTCTGAAGGTTCTGACTGTCTTCAGAAACGATTCGATAGCATTTTGTTTTCATCTTCGCTCCATGTAATACCTAAACAAAGTGTTCTTAATCGCAATACTGCTTTGTCCACGGAGATTACGGGAAACAGCTCTAATTCAGCTTTTCCATAAGCGCCACCTGCTGTCAGCGAGTGGATTTACATTCAGCTTGCGTGCAGTTTCTGTCTGGTCAAAAATGGACCGAATTTGCATGCCCTGCTGTAAATTTTGACCAGTTGATGAAAAACAAGCTTATGTGGATTCTACACATTTAAACAATTCAGATGAGTTATCTATAATTATTTATGGAGCAGATAAAATACATATAATCATTTATTAATCAATTATCATTTTGACTTAACTCTTTTCTTTATCTAAAGGCTGAAATGTGAGGTTTACCTTTTTATTAAACTTTTTCAAAGCTTTATTTGAACATTTACATTAGATATTTCAACATGCTATTAAACTGTTGTCAGTCAAGTTGTCATTTAAAATCCGAACATCACTGGTAATGTTATTGTATTAGTGATTATGCAAACAAAAAGTCATTTTATTTGTTGTTTGTTGAGTTTCAAATATAAAACTTGGTGAAGTGATTTATGTGTCGGTACTTTTTTAACATCTCCAGCACATTTTAACAATACCGTGATAATATTGATAACCGTGATCATTTTGGTCACTATAATCATGATAAGAAATTTTCATACTGTTACATCCCTAGGCGGGACTTGAATTTATCCATGAGGTTTTGATTGGATCAAGAAAAACGGTCTCTATATGACAGGTGGTTAATGGGGAGGAGCTGTAAAAAAAAAAAAATTGGTGACATCAGCTGAACAAGAAAGTAATTTCAGAGGTGGAAGATGATAGATTATGAGGAGAAACTTTGATAACAGCAATTTTATATCAAGTTAACTTAAAATTTAGTTTTAGTGATTGCATGCCAAGATCCCATTGGTCATTGTAATTCAGAGTAGATTATCTACTGCATCCACACTTATGGAAATAAGTTCACTCCTGGTTCCTGTGGTCCCCAGGCCATTAATCACCAAGCTATGCTGATGTGGCTCAGAGGAGGCAAAAATACACATATCTAATGGAAAGTTCCTCAAAACCAACACTGGACATCATTTACATCAGGCAGCCAGAGAAGGGCCTCAGCACTAATGGCATCATTGATTTATCAGTGCTTCACTTGGGCCACCGTGGGGTCGATATATTTATTCTCTGGCTAAATGTTGACAAAACACTCACACGTCCAAGTCTATACTCCACCTCAGCGATCAGCATTAGTGGATGTAGCATGTGTTTTAACTGACCGGGTAAAGACATCTTGACCTGTTTTTCACTGGACTAAGGGAGCCTGAGCATACTGCAGGGTTGCAGAGCAGATTTTCTCATCAGGGCTGGTGCTGGTGCTCAGCTGTAATACACTTCACATGGTAATAAACTCATGGTTAAGAACGGAGCAAACTGACTGACGGTGGAACATATTGGAAACACATGGGACCCTGATGCAAAAACAAAAATCCACTACTTCTGTGCAGTCAGAGAAATTATTCAGATTGTATCGCACATTACGAGGGTGAAAGAAACAGATTAATGAAAGATGACTGGATGGATAGTGGGAAAGAGTTTTGTCCAGCAGGAGAGGGTGGTGTATCATCCATGTGTCAAAAACTGGCAATTAGATGTACTTGGCTACTCGTAGTGCAAATCCCACACTTCAATCCATTAATATTTGGCTAGACTGTACAGGAAAAATAAAGAGAGCTTAATGTTTAGCCTGTGGAGATTACTGGACCTTGCCAAAGAGGGTCAAGGAGTACCCTAGCATCGTTCAACAAAACAGGTCTTCACAGGTCTTCTCATAAAATTCAGACCCACTCTGCATTGCTAGTCCACTTAGTGTTCATGACATTCACAATTGAATATAAATGTAATATAAATAATTTTAATAGCAATAATTTTCTAATAGGGCTGCCGCCTAATAGTCAACTGACCGTTAGTCGACGAGAATAGGCTTAGTCGATCAAAATTTTATTAGTTGCTTAGTCGCAGGAAAAAAAAATCCACAGAAAGTGGCGAAGTCAGATTAGTTAACAGCTGGTCTGTGTGGTAATTAATACATTGGTCAGGACATGCAAATGTTTGTTTCGTTCATCGACCTCGAATGTGGCTTATCATCTGAAACATGCAAGTAGTAGCATCATTACATGGCCGCTCGCTTTAACGTTAACCTAGAAAAATGTGCCCTTTTCAAGTGTTTGTGCGGAGTGTGGAAGCTGAATAGTAGCACGCTTAAAATGAATGACTATTAGTCGATCAGAAAAATCTTTAGTCGAGGGCAGCCCTATTTTCTAATCATAATTTATTGTAATAACAATAATAATATTGTATTATTATATAACAATACCATACAAGCACATCATACATAAATTATGTACTAAATATTTATGTATTTCATTATGTATTAAATACACACTATCTATACACACACACACATACATACATATAAAGTGGCATTACCTTCAAATAGGGCTGTGCGATATGGACAAAAAAAATCGCGATTTTTTTGATCAATTTTGCGATTTCGATTTTAATCACGATTTTGACACACACAGACATGCTTTACAGTCATCAATGCATTCAGTGTGAATTTGAAACATATTTCCAAAAGAAAACCAATTAGAGCTTTATCAAAAAGCTGTAACATGTCTCTAGAACAGACATAAGATAAAATAATCACTAAGTAAAGGTGTAAAAAAAATGTCTCTAGAATAGACATATGGCAGAAAAGAAAAAAAAATCCCGTATCCAGGGATTTTTTTTTTTTTTGCCATGTATTGGTCATAGAGCTCTTTGTGGCGTTGCCTCAGGTGTTCATTTTTACCGCGAATAATGCGCTGCCACTTTAAATCAGCGCGTGCAGCACAGCAGAAATAGATTCCGTGCAAAAACGATCGCTGCATGACTGCTGCAGACGCACCACTCCTGGAGCGCACTGCCGGACCGCAATCGCGTGCAGTGTGAACGCTCTGATCCGTTAACATGGGCGCGGAAAAAATACGCACCACAGACGTGTGTGAACCTGGCGTTACGGTTGTATGCCCGCCCGGTCTGTTCTGTTCTCGTGCTCCATTTAGGCGTGCTGCATTCTGATTGGTTCGGATAGCATACTGCGGGAGGTCGGGGGTGCGGAAAATCATGCTATAAAGCGATTTAGAAATCGCGCAAGCTCAAATCGCGATTTTAAAACGATTTCGATTAATCGCACAGCCCTACCTTCAAATCAGATTTTTTTTTTTTTATAACAGCAATTATAACTGCATAGAACCTACTGCAGCTCTGTGTCAGGCCTGGTATTAATCAAATAAAGGGAATATTTCACCTGCATCACCGTGACCTCCTGCACACACCTAACTGCATATCTCAACATTGTGAGTATGCAAACTGTATCACCTGCTTGAAACACAAGCAAAGATTTCCAGGCTGCTGAACAGGGCCCAATGCTTTCACTAGTAGCACATGGGTGTTATTGTGAGCTACATGCTGGCATGGAAGCCTTGTGCCGACACCTCAGCAGATGCATTTTTACTCCCCAGAGCACGGCTACCATTCGTGGCGTGTTTTTGAAAGAGAGAGCACTCAAATAGCTCCCCGACACCTTTTCTCCCTACCCCTGACTGACTTGGCGTGGTAACCGCATCCCTGAGATCCTGCCACACGTTAAAGAGCCTAGAGAGAGTACTGATCAATTATTAATTAAACAGAGTGTTGTTTTTACTAAAGACACCTCCACATTACTGCCAGATGTTACCCTGCACAATCATCTTAAGCTCTGAATACTTAATAAGAGTCACCTTCCCATGCTGATATTATGTGGGATCACACACTGAGCAAAGTGGAAGATGATACATTAGGGGCGGCTGTATAAAAAATTATTTTTTTTATTTTTTTTAATTCTAGAATCAAAATAAATGAAGAA